GCATCCTAAAAATACCTCGATGGACTTTGTAAAAGAGGATATGCGAGAGAAGTTTGTGAGTGGAGAGATGTCGTCGAATAGGCCTGAACGGAAAAGGAGGACATCCTGCCCTGACCCCACATAGTGGGATCAGAGCAAGGAGGAGTTCAAATAACGTAGGTATGCTGTTATCAATAGAACTTTCTATCTTAAAATATCGGTGATTAGCAGCCTCCATAGCAGAAGCCTTTTTTCTATTAGTGAAAACAGATGAAGGAATCAGAATATCCTATACCTATAAACGAGCAATTCTTGTATATTAATATATTTGTATATAATCTGAATCTCGGAAACGGCTCCAACGATTTTCATAAAATTTAGTATACAGTGGATTTCGGGGGCGATAAATAGATCTAGCTACGATTTATTTTCAGAAAATGTTGTCTTATTCGTGTTTTCAATAATCAACTCTTCCCGACATCTATTGGCGAATAATAATACTATTCTTCTTAATTGAGGGCAACTAACCGCTTCAAAGACACAACAATATGCGGGTTATCAAAAAAAAAACCGAGCAAAGCTCGGTCATCATCTAGTTTAATTACAGAGATCACGTACCAAGGAGAGAGAGCGATTGAATCTGGCTGGGACTCTGTAGCTGGATTAAAGAATCAATTCCGTAATTTACTGAAAGTTGAACTACCGGTTCTGAGTAATGATGGATGGAAGGACACTAAATGTGAATTATCAAAAGTTGGAGATGAGATGTCGGGTAAGCTGCTGTACAGTTATCATGTTTAGTTAATATTATTTAAGTTATAAATTTGGATAATTTGAGTGTCAGAAGGAAACATCACTATTTGCAAATATTGTGTGTAATGCACTTAATTAATTATAAGTAATTTTAGGGAATATACTAAGCAAAGGAGAGAGCAAGCCTTTTTTTAAACGTAAATTTAGTGTATAACTTACGAATAATTTAGCATCTGTTTAAAATTTGAAACGGAATGTTTATTCATAAAGATAAATTCATCTGCTTTCAATGCTGACTATACTGAGAGTTTAGAACTTGTATCTCAAGGTGGGTGGCGCGTCTACGTTTACGTTGTAGATGTCTATGGGCTCCAGTAACCACTTAACACCAGGTGGGCTGTGAGCTCGTCCACCCATCTAAGCAATAACAAAAAAAAATGCCTGGTTTTCATTAAAATATTTTATTAATAATATTTTATTGGTGTATTTGTATAATATATCGAGAGTATTTTTGTCCAAAAAAATAGCTTAAATAGATTAAAGAAATTTTCGATCTGTTTACTTTTCTTTTTTTATTGCTTAGATGGTGGAAGAGCTCATAACCCACCTGGTGTTAAGTTTGAATTTGCAAACGTGACTGATTTTATAATTCTATATTTATTATTATATGTTATTGTGCTATTCATTTTAAGTATTCAAAATGTGAATTGCGTTAGTTCTGGCTACAATATGCATAATGTTTATGGTTAATGAATGTGTGATAAGGCCAATTAAAATATGAACGGCTGTTAATAAATAATCAATGACAAATCGTTTAATTGAGATAAAAAAAAGGCTTGAATGTTGTTTTATTTATAACATATTTGTAAGTATTATAACAAATTTGTCTGTTACCAAATTCCCATTCATCGTATATTCCCAACCTTCCACATCAGGAGGAGTGCTTAGGTATTTTTCCTTTTCAGTCATAATCCTTCAGTGTAAGGTTGCGGTAAAGTGTCAATAAATATTACAGTCACGACCAAAGCCAGTAGTTATGGGTGCGGAATGAGAAACCTCACGCTACAAACAGAGTCAAAAACGTAGTCTTTTTGTACTAGCTCGATACATGCACATCGGAATGCGTGCCATATTATGTCGACTAAAAAAGAAAGCTAAGAGTAATAGTTTGACGAACGCTTTAGTAAAACCAGATCAAACTTTAACCAGTAAACGAGTCAAAACTTTAGACACATTAATCAATTTTTAACAAATTTTGAAATCTACATTAGAAGCGTGTTTGGTCATTCTGACTTTATCCATTTGTTATACGCCGCCAGATACTTGTCGAACAATATTTTTTTGATAGCGTTGGATTTATTTCACCTAATATTTTAATTTGCGACGGCTAATATTGCTATGTACTTATCTATCTATGTATTTATTATTGTAAAATATTGGAATAACGAAAAATCTTACAAAAGTCATTTTATATTCGTGGTCGCAACGAGCAACAAAAAAATGAGGTAAAATAAATAAATATCTAAAAAATATCAGTTTCTTATATTTTTTTAAATAATATCTGACATAAATCACTATAAATTTATAAAGAATGGTATATCTATGGTTAAATTTTATATGAAGAAAAACAAATTTTCAAATCCTTTATTTAATATCCAAGTTTCCGACGTATACAATAGTATCTGTATTCAAATTAGGTGATTCTTGCACCATAACCTGTTAAATAATTCATATTTTATTCGAGCTGAAATTTTTATCGAAAAAAGTACAAAAAATGAGGTAGAAAATGAACAATTAAATTATTCAGTAGTATTTTTTCTAGTAACATCATCAGTAAGATAATCTTTTTCGCGGAACAATGACAGGCCTTGAGATTTGAGTGTTGCGTCAGGAGACATCAGTACCCGGTACCTGGGTGGGCCCCCCGGTGCGCACTCTGCGTGGCCGGGGGCTCCGTCTGTGGGGGAGTTTTGCTAGACTTCCACCGGGCGCGTCTGTAGGTGGCGGATAACGGGATCCTCTGGGCGACATTCCCAGAGGTGTCGTCCGATCTTTTTCGTTGCAAGGATTCTTAGGGTTAGGCCTTTATACCTAAGTATAGGGTTAGGTTTAGATGTAGATTAAGGTCCTAGGTATAGGGTTAGGTTTAGATGTAGGTTAATGTCCTAGGCTTAGGATTAGGTTTAGGATAGCTTAGCTAGGCTTTGCGACGAAAGAGATCGGATGACGCGGACCAAAATCAGCACTAGGAGGAGCGGAAGGACTGCGCTCTCCACACTCTTCACTAAGTGAAGAGTGCTCCTTCTGGAGATCGCAGCTTCCGACGGCACCGGTTCGCCGGCCTGCTGTGAGCGGTGGCACCCTGTGCCCCGTTATCGTGGAAGTGAGTCAGCGCTGCATTTTTGCAGCTGCTGGCCGCTGGTTACTATGGCCCCGGCCGCCGCTATGGAACGCCCCCCAGATATGGGGGCCGATTCGCCGGCGTGGCTTCGTGGTTGCTCGTTTCGAGCGTTGGGCGGTGGTCTGCCGAGTTGCCCTGTGCACCCGGTGGGCTGCCGACCAACCCGTAATCCTCACTGAGTGGGGGCGGCGGCCGCTGCCGCCAGGCACGGGGTCGCGAGTACGTAAACCTCTATAAAAAATACCCCAATCCCAAGCTTCGATGCCCGGCGAAGGGATGAATGGCTGGAGGGAGTCCAGTCCCGAGGGCATTACCTGATCCCAGGGGACCTCACCCCTGGTTAAATAAGAAAGGAAAAAAATTAACATGGACAATTGTGAAACAGTATTAATCCAGGAGGGTACCTCCCGCTCAGGAGGAGAATTCCTCTGCGAGTCGGGAGAACCCGTTGTGGGAAGGCCGAACGAGTCAGGGAGGGAGAGGTTGAGCGGTTGTGCCGTTCCCTTATGGAGACTGAATCCACTGACCTGCACAAAATCTTCGAAATCTCTCTGGATATTGTCTCCAAGGTGGCGAGCAAATCAGGCTCTTTAAAGGGCCCGTACGTGCATGCCCTGAATTGCGTGGTCGCTGCCATGGGTAGGCTCCTAGAGGCATTTCTCCAGCGCACTGCCACAGAGGAAACAGCTGGCCTGCGTTCAGAGTGAGAATGTAGAGCTTCGGGCGGAAAGTGTAAGGTTGCGGGTGGAGATGGCCGCAATGCGTGTGGCCATTGATAGTGTAAGGAGACAGCGGGGCAGTTCGGTTTCCCCACCGCCACCGCCCCAAGTGCAAGAGGCCATCGTGGCGGAAAAAGATAAGGAGATCGAAGACGTACCTAACCCCCGTCCCGTCCCGACAGTCAACGCTCCCCAGGTACTGGATCGAGCAGCAACTGAAGGGAAAAGAAAGGGAGAGCGCAAGGCAAGAAAACCGCGCGCCCCGCGGTTGGCGGCTGTCGTATTGGAGCTGCTGCCGGCTGCCAAGGAAAAGGGCCTCACCTATGGGGAGGTGATGGCCCGGGCGCGCGTTAGCGTCGACGTGGATGTCATGGGCGTGGAGGGTGGCCTCCGAGTCCGGCACACCGCCAACGGGGCCCGGTTGCTGGAGTGTCCTGGTGCCAACACCAGTGCGGTCGCGGACAAGCTAGCAGCCCGGCTTCGTGAAATCCTGCCGGACCCAGAAGTGGTGCGTATAGACAGGCCCGTCAAGATGGCGGAAGTCAAGGTGACGGGCTTGGATGAGTGCGCCACAAAGGAGGAAGTGGACGCCGCCATTGCATCGCAGGGCAATTGCGCCCTCACGCAGATCAGGGTGGGAGAGCTGCGAAGCTCTTACTCTGGAGCCTTCTCTGCGTGGGCGCGTTGCCCTATGCAGGCGGCCACGCTCCTGGCTACGCCTCCACAAGGTCGGCCCGCTGACTCACCAGGGAGACTGCGCGTGGGCTGGGTGATGGCCCACGTGCAGTTACAGAAGGCCCGCCCCTGGCGATGCCTCCGGTGCTTCGGCACCGGGCACGGCCTCGCCAGGTGCCCATCGGCCGTGGACCGCAGCGGGCTTTGTTTCCGCTGCAGCCAGCCCGGACACAAAGTGGTCTCCTGCACAGCCACCGCGCCACACTGCGTGCTGTGCGACGCGGCGAAGCGGCGGGCCAATCATCGGGCTGGGGGCCCGGCCTGTCTTTCCGCCCCCTCCTCCACAAAGAGGAGGCGTGGCGGGAAAAAGAAGAAAAAAGCAGAGGAAGAGCCGGCCGGTCAGTTCCTACCGCGGCCGTCGGGCCGCAAGGCGGGACGGAAGACGAGGGAGCGATGCACGTGACACCTCAATAATGGATCACGTCCATCGCTTCCTCCAAGTAAACGTAAACCACTCCGCTAGGGCGCAGGATCTCCTCGTCCACATCATGGCGGAGTGGTTCATCGAAATCGCGATCGTTGCGGAGCCATACTTCGTACCTCCCGACAGGGAGGATTCATGGGCCGGAGATTTTGATGGCTCCGTGGCGATCGTGATGCGACAGTCAGCGGCGTTACCCCCCCTTGGAATGGTGGCCAGGGGATCCGGGTACATCGTAGTTAGGGTCAACGAAACTGTCGTGATCGGGGTGTACTTCTCTCCGAACAGGAGTCTCGCTGAGTTCGAACGGTTCCTGCGTGGGCTCGAGGCGTTGGTTCATCGCTTCGAGTCTCGCCCGGTGATACTGGCGGGGGACCTCAACGCTAAATGTACGGCGTGGGGCTCCCCCCGCACGGACTCGCGCGGCGAGTTCCTGTCGGAGTGGGCTTTCGCGACCGGCCTCTGTCTTCTGAACAGAGGTTCGGTCGCAACCTGCGTGCGGTGGAACGGGGAATCACACATGGACGTGTCGTTCGCGTCTCCATCTGCCGCACGCCGTGTCCGTGGCTGGCGTGTTCTCGAGGGGGCGGAGACGCTCTCGGACCATTTGAGGTCGTCGTTCGTCCGATTTGAGCTCTCCGTTTCCACTTCGTTGAATGCGCCGGCCGAAGACGCCCGTGGCGAGCACGATGGGCACTGAAGCGCCTGAATAAGGTGCTCGCGGTGGAGGCGGCCACAGTGGCCGCGTGGGCGCCGATGCCCACGCGTCTAGTCGACGTGAAGTCGGAGGCCGATTGGTTCCGGGGTACGATGCGTCGCGTCTGCGATGTTGCGATGCCCCGGGTCAGCGGCCGCGCTCCACGTGGCGGTGCGTATTGTGGACGCCCGCGATCGCACTCCTCAGAGAGGAGTGCGTGCGGGCACGCCGCCGAAGAGCCCGCCACCGCCGTCGCCGTCTTCGCGATACGGATTTCGTGGAGGTGGCGGCCCGCTTACATGCCCACTGCCGTGAGAATCAGGAGGCTCTGCGGCGGGCCATCGGCGAGGCCAAGTCTCAGAGCATGAAGACGCTCCTGGAGACGCTCGATCAGGATCCCTGGGGGCGCCCCTACCAGACGGTACCCAAGAAATTGCGGAAATTAGTCATGACGGGCTTTATGCACGTTTTGTAAAGTGTTACCTTGTTCCGAAGGGACATTTTACTCCGCTTACAGATCATGGGGTAGAGTCTACCGAGAATAAACGCGGCACGGTCACGGACTGATTTTATATGCGGGCGGAATGCTATCGATGCATCCAGGGTAACGCCCAGGTGCTTGACCTTCTTGACCCAGGGTATGGGTTGTGTAAAGAGAGTAATCGGGGGTGTGAGATTCCTCCTCCTAATCCAGGAGGAAATCCGTGTGAAGATTCCCCTCTGAAATAGCACCACAGTACTTTTCGCGGGGTTGATGTCTATGGCCATTTTCGGAACCACTGTTCTAGAGCTATGGCTGCGCTCTGAAGCTTCTTCGCGATTGGGGACTTGTTTCTACTCGAATAGTAAACAGTCGTGTCGTCGGCGAATAAAGCTAGCTGGGTCGGCGGCGACCGAGCAATATCGTTGACGAATAAGCTAAATAGGAGGGGCGACGTGCATCAGGTGCCCACGCATCTGGTACACCTTGCTGTAATTTTGATATTATCTACTCCGACAGTGGGTATTATGAGAGGAGTACAAAGGAGACAACAGACTCGTCGTAAATGCAAACCACTGACTACGAAATTGCTTATAAAATATTTTTCTCAGACACATCACGCTATTGAAGTATACTATGTGGCAGCACCAAGACCATTAATGCACGTTCAGTGGTCGATAAGACGAAGACTAAATTATTATTTAAGTTCAAATTCTCGGAGTGATGTAAACAAAAATTCAATTATTAATCCTCCGCGCTTGGCTTGAAATTGATGAATATTTTCGTTTTGATTAAATGCTCTTTGTAATGAAATGGTTAACTGCGAGTGTTTGTCGGCGATGACGACAGTAATTTTATATTTTCTTGACGTAATCATAAAATGAGAACAATACCGATTATTTCTTTTTTGGGGGCCTGTACTTTGGTATGTAAGAAAAATCACTATGTATGTATTTTTATTGCTATTCTGGTTTTTCTGGCGGGAGTTCTGGGATCTGGCTTGAAGGGCATGACGTACTTTAAACAGTGTAATTGAGAATTCGACGCCATATCCTAAAGAGGGTGGAGGCATAATACCAAGTTATCCACGACCTCGTGTCTGTCTAATAACCTACTACGTAGTGTCTATCTATCCACAGCAAATTTATCTTTTTCTTTCTGGATATCTTTGTGACCACATTTTTCTTTGTTAACAGGCATATAACCAGCGTCTAAATCAATCATGCGGTAAGTTTGGTTTGCCTATAAAATATCTATTTAAAGGAATATATCGATATACCCGCCGTAACGTCAGCTAATTAATAATACCAGTTTTTTGGCTAAGCATAACCCTGTAGGGTGTAGGCTTTTTTAGTTCATAATCCACAATGGTCATGGGTCTGTCTATTAGTTACATGATAATAACGCTACCCACCTTAAGGCGTGAGGAAGCCACCTCTTCCTTTCAATTGCATTGGTAAAATACCCTTCCCAGTCTTCCAATCGAAATGTATTCATTACGACTCGATAGAAACAGTAAAGATAACCACCACATGACAGTTCATTCGTCCTTATTAATGATACAACATCAACTTTACGCTGAGTTTCTTATTAACTAAAATACAGTGCAGCAATATCTATTTTGTCGAATAGACAGTCAACAATTTAAAATTTTATACGACGCCGAATGTTTTAAATTAAAAGAAGACGTAAAAAAATAAATTTAGGAAGTAATTTTTTTAATTTACCAATGCATAATTTTGTAAAGTGAAGGATGAATTGTATGATCTAGTATTTGTTCTAGAATGCGGCATAGAAGGGAAGAATCGTCGTATAGTCGGTGGTTCGACGGTCCAGCCTCATCAGTATCCGTGGTTGGTAGCTTTGATGTTGGGACCGAAGCTTCACTGCGGAGGAGCTATCATCACCGACATACATGTGCTGAGCGCTGGACATTGTATTACATTTGGGTTTGTTTCCCTTTAAAATGTTTATGAGTTTGACTAAAATTTAAGTAAAATTTTGCATAAATTACTGAATTTCTAGGATGATTCAGATGATTAAACTGCTGTATACTCGGTAAATCAGGGCGAATAATTAAATTATTGAAGCGATCAAAATCAGTAAGCGTATGAACAAGGCTCAGTGTCATTTTGTTTCTGAATATATCTTTTTTTCCTACCTAAGCTGATGGTCTAGAGAGACCATATCAGCGTAACCCTAACTAGAAGCTGAGCTCACGGGGCTCAATGACGATGTTGCTAATACGAGCCCTAGCAAGAGCCGTGCATCGCAGAATCTACCACCGGATCGGAAACGTGACCTACTGAAAAGATCCGGCGAGAACCTCAATAGGCTTGAATATATCACATACTCTGTTGCTGTATGGTTTGTAACTGCTGATTTATACTATGCTTAGTCGTTACTCAGCAGTGATGATCTCAATGAGCGATAGTACGAACCACAAAAAATTTGAGGGGCTATAGGCTTAGCTGTTTAGGGAGGACAATAAATTATAGCCATCAAAAACTTACACATAGTAATTCTTTATTGTCAAAAATAAAACTCATATGTTTTTCCTTAAAGTTCATGACTGACGCAATTTTTTTTCGGGCAGAGGTCCGAACCTCTTACGAGGTATCCGTGCCTAGGGGACGCACGGCGTATTCTTCACGGTCTGCAGATGTTGGAAGCAGACCGCGGGCCCAAGGATATAACCGACTCATAGTATAATCTTTATAATTCTAATTGCTATGTTTCCAGAGTACATTACCGTGACCTTAACGTGTTTGTGGGTATGCACGATCGCTTGGACAACAACCGTGATGAGTTACGTATCAAAAAGGCTATCAAACATCCTAGTTTTACTTCGAATGCAGTTAGAGACATCAATGACGTGGCGATACTAACGCTTTACAAACGTCTAACGTTTTCAGAAAAAGTTCGTCCCATATGTTTGGCTACGGAAGGTAAAAAAACAAAAATTAACACTATAAAAATATTCTTAGATTTTCGCAAATTGTGGATTTGGTTTTGGTTTCCAAGTAATTTAAATCACTGTAACGGCTTAATTTTGCATTTATTCGGCATTAGGTTTTAAAAAGATTTTAGGCCTTTTTTAACACTAGCAAGCAAACAAATGGACAGACCTTAGGATGTTAGAACTACAGTACTGTTAGTTTTTACTATGTACAAAGAAACGTGTATTTATAAAAAGCCGGATCCGCAGAGTTGTACCCGTCTTAACGGGACCTCATTATATAATTTGATTTTTTTTAAAAATGGTTTAATAACTACGGAACAAAAGAGTTGCTAATCTACGAAAAAATTAATGGTGATTAGATAGTAAATGATCGTATTGCATTCAATAGCAAATTAGTCATGTTTTCAAGATCGATTAAAAAAACAATTAGGTTAATTCGATTAATCGGATCAAAGTGCAGCACACTCGTCGCTAGCCGCCCGTGAACTCAATTTGGGGAGTAAAACTATGTCAACTATTGTGTGGATTAAATAATATCTGTAAAAATTTTAATCTATAATTCCGTTAATGTTCAATTTACAATTAAATTTTTTTTAGATAAAAACTGATATTTGAAATGAAATGTGGTGAATAGTATAGAAATAAATAAATAAAATGCTTCATTTATTGTTTGTGTTCTAGAAATGGATTTCAAAAATACACCTATGACTGTGGCTGGGTGGGGAAAGACAAGACAAGGAGCTCTGGCATCCTCCAGATATTTGCTTGAGGCTAAAGTACATTACGTAGAGTATGAAAATTGTAGAAAATCCTCAATTTACAAAAACAATCTCGTCAGTGATACCATGATGTGTGCTTACACTAAAGGGAAAGACGCGTGTCAGGTATAATTGAACTTAATTGTTTTTTTATAAAGAAAATTTCGTCTGGGTGCGCAGATAAACTCACTATCCACGTAGTATGAAGTGGTTAGAATAAAATTACAACTATGTAAACAACTATGTAACGGCACGAGATCAAAATCTCAAACATTTCATTTAAAAAAAAAAACAAAATATATTTAGACGTATAGGTAATGAATGATATCATTTTGATTAAATTACGAAATAAACAATTAATTTCATTTCTTTTAAAAATGTTGTTAATGTTCCAAACTGAAGCTTTTATAAGAACGGAACTTTAGTATCGGAAAGTGTCAGAAATACAGATTTATGTTTTTTTTTTATTACAGGGAGATAGCGGGGGACCTTTGTTTGTAACTGATCAAAAGCGTAAAAACCATAAATGGTACCAAGTTGGTGAGTTTGATTTCAAGACAATAAATATTTACAAAATACCCAATCTATTTGCGATTGCTCTATTTTTTTATTTTTTTTATTGCTTAGATTGGTGGACGCGCTCACAGCCCACCTGGTGTTAAGTGGTTCCTGTAGCCCATAGACATCTACAACGTAAATACGCCACCCACCTTGAGATATAAGTTCTAAGTCTCAATATATTTACAACGGCTGCCCCACCCTTCAAACCGAAACGCATTACTGCTTCACGACTAAAACAGGCAGGGTGGTGGTATCTACCCGTGCGCACTCACAAAAGGTCCTACCACCAGGAAATGTGATTGAGTCTATCGAATTCGCATGGTTCAATTGGATACCTTTTTTTTTTATTGCCTTTGTAGGCAGACGGGCATTCGGCCCACCTGATGGTGAGTGGTGACCGTCGCCCGTGGACTTCAGCAATGCCAGGGGCAGAGTCAAGCCGCTGCCTACCGCTTAATACTCTCCATAAGCCTCGTTTGAAGAAGGACATGTCATAGCGCTCGGGAAACACCGTGGAGGGGAACTACCTTGCACGCGTTCAAATTTCAAATACATTAAGCTATTGACAACATATATCAAGGTCTGTGGCAGGACCCATACCGTGATCTAATGGGCTCCGATAACCTTGTAACCAACACTACAACTTCAGACTCACACTACTACAAATTCTTCTACAAATTCTACTACAAATTCACATAGCTCCACAATTTGGGCACTTCCTTCCTTTCGGTCTCCGGGAGTATGATTAAGCGTCTAAATTCTTCTTATTTTGTTTGTCAGAAGCCCTATGTCCTATCCATTTGCAACTTTATAAATATCTAGTATTTTATAGTAGTTACATGGCGGGAAAGATGATCTTACTTACTAGGTACATACTTACTAGGTTACATACTTACTAGGTACCATTTGATTATCTTCTCTTCAATACATTTACAGAAGTTTCTAATTGCCTTGGTAGTTCATTTGTTGTCTATGCAGTACGAGTGTGGAATTCTCCCCCGTGTTCTTAGACTAAATATTCTTAAGAAACAAACCAAGGGACCTATTTCTTCATTACATAAACTATTAATTGTAATTTGCCAACTGTAAAATAATTGCTTGTACCCTATAGCATTGACATTAATAAGTATTCTTGTTTGTATTAGTGTTCACTCATTGATTGATAATCACTGACATGTCAAGATTTAGCTTAATTTTATGTATTACTTTTTCACTATTGTGTTTACTGACAACTTGAAAAAATAAAAATATTTCCAAAAAAATGTTGATGGCAAATGGAAGAATTCCGTGTAAAAATAAAAAAGAGAAAGGTATAGAACTGTTTTGTTTTAGCCTATTAAATGCATTACATATGTGATGCGACTGTATTTATATTTAGTATTAAGCTATGCATTATCTGTTTCTAATTGATTTCATATTCTAATTTATTTTTCGATTAACAGGAATCGTATCTTGGGGCATCGATTGTGCAAAACCGGATTATCCAGGTTAAAGTTATTTTTAGTTCATAAATTATTTTTGGTTATGCAGTCCAATGATAATAATTTTGGAAGAAAAATACCATGAAAGATACTGTAAACATTTTAGTCAGATTGTTATATTTGATAACAACATTAATATTTTCTGATGGTGAGATTACTCGTAATGTTTAAATGGCAAAAATAAGATCAAAGTTTTTATTTTGAAATTCGTGTATATTTTAACTCGATATAATGGTGGGAAATCAAAATAAAATGAAATTGTTTTCATTTATGTCCACAAGGTCACTTTTAAACTAGGTATTTTGATTTTACTACCAATTACGGAATGTAGTTTCATCACTGATATCAATTGGCAAGAATTCCAGGGCTTTATTTTCCAAATCGTTTTCAGTACGTTTATGTTCAAATAAAATTAATTTTACGGTTTTATTTTGCATTTGTTAATGTCATTAAAAAATTAAATTATCTCCGATATTTCGAATACTTTAACTTTTTACGTGGTCATACATGGACGACATAGTCTGTTTAATTAAAATGATTAGGAAGCAAAAGCATCATCGAGCGGTGATCAAAATATATCTGTTCGTAATGATGCTATGTGGAGCATAAATTTAAATTCACTGTGGTCTGGAGATACAGAAATAAAAAAATAATTGATACAACCAAAATTTATACTCTTCCATTTTATTTCTTTCACTATTATTATATAATACTAGCTGTACCCGTCCGCTTCGCTGGGCATTTAAAATTAACATTATTATTTCTCACCCCCACAAAGATTCTCATCATTAACGCCCCCGCAACTGGTATAGGGTGTCCAACGCTCATATAAATATTAGCCTATACATTAAGCACATGAATTTTCTACATGGATACCAAACTTCAAGTAAATCGGATGCATAGTTCAGTAGTTATAACGGAACATCCGTAAAAACCACAGTAGATTTATATATTAGTATAGATATGATTTTATAAACTTAATGATTTAATACACTATATGAAAATTAATCATTTTAATCGGGCAAATTTAATATTTTTTAATTTAATTTCAGGCGTATATACTGTAGTGTCAAAATACTTAACCTGGATCAAACAAGAAACAGCGGATGGAATATATTGTATATGAAGAGTATTTAAATTATATATAGATGTGTAAATATATAAAATATTTCTATTAAAATCATAAATTTTTATTCATACGTTGCAATTTCTATAAAGTTTATATGTATAATAATTTTCGATCAACAAATAATGTTTCCTATAGCGATAAGAACATTGCGTTTTTCCTATAAACCATGTTTTTTTGATGTCATGCACGTCAATTTTTTACATTAAATTCCATATTATTTTCACGGTACACAAATACTAATATAGTTAGATTTAAGGTGATTTAAATGATCCAATAAGATTTATGGATAGCCCAGCAGTGTGGTGAATTCACTAGTATTGTGTACAAAGGCGTGGATAATTTCGTCTTATATCACGGAGAGTGTAAATTAAGTGAACAGTATTGTGCGTGTAGCTTAGAAACGAAGCGGAGTGTCCAACGGATTTCATAAACATGAGAAGTATATTGAGTCTTACTGTTGTACTATTTTGTCTGGGATTTCAGGTATGTATGAATAATATGTGGTTGACTCGTGGTTACGACTATATTCTTAAATTACAATTGTATTGTAGGTTGCGTTAGCGCAGACACATGGATGCAGTAAGTGACGACTTTTTTCTTAACACAGTTACCATTATATACCTTATATTCTTCAAATAAAACTAAATAAATGACCTGGATAACACAATACTTTTTTAGTTTCACATTACGGTATTTTAATAAAGAATACATATTTGCATTGTAGTTTATTGCAGATTACGTCACAATTTTACTATCCACATTTTACAGTTAGATAATAATATGTTTATTGACAAATTTTCACTTCAAACAAGTTAGAGCATGTAAATTCACTTTTCGGTTGATACAAAGCTACTTAATTAAGTGATAATTTTTTTTTGATGTCGTCGTGGCTTAAAGGCTACGCTCGTTAGATAAGGCATTCGTATCTAGCGATGCAACAGTGTTCGATTCTGACAGGTATGTAGGTACGAATTGTTTTAATGAAATATGTACTTAATAAATGTTCATGATTGACTTCCACGGTGAAGCATTAACATCGTGTAATAAAAATCAAACTCACAAAATTCAAATTTGCGTAATTACTGGTGGTAGGACGTTTGTGGTAAGTCCGCATGGGTAGGTACTACCACCCTGGCTATTTCTGCCTTGAAGAAGTAATGCTGTAAAAATTGAGAACTCAGAACTCATAGTGGTTTTTTTTTTTTGCTTAAATGGGTGTGGTTACTGGAGCCCATAGACATCTACTACGTAAATGCGCCACCCACCTTCAGATATATGTTCTAAGGTCTCGAGTATATACTGCTTCACGGTAGAAATAGGCAGGGTGGTGGTACCTACCCGCGCGGACCCACAACACGTCCTGCCACTAGTAAGACTTAAGAAGAGTCAATATATTTATTAACATTATCAAGTATAAAATCCCCAGTATTCAACCGACCATCACTCAGGTGTAAAATTATCAATTGTTTTAAAATAACAATTCTTATGGCACCTTAGGTTTATGCTCCATAAGCCGGAATACATGACACGGTAGAGATATAACTGTGGCATTAACCCGTGTGAACACACAATACACTCTGATAACCGCTTTCAAGTTCGGAATTAGGCAAAATTGTTAGAAATAGATAATGAGGCTACTATAGGCCAATGCGAGCGAACCAGTCATATGCCAACTAGTTCCAGTTGGCTAGGGTTTTATAGCCAAGATATCTGGTAAATACCTCGACCGACTAATGCTATTTAAGATAATTATTTATCGGGTTACGAGCACATAAGCCGTAACACAAATCCGTAGTATACGCAGACGAATACATCGCGTCTGTTATATCTTCTTGTGGCCCAGCCGTATTGTGAGGTACGTCACGGACTCAAAACTGTGTATTGGGCAAGTACCTTATTTTTCAGAGTTTATACAGGCATATGCGTGCTGTAAATTGTCTTAACGAAAGTCCAAGGTCTGTATTGTATTAACGCTACGTTCAATTTATCGAACTATGCTTTCATATCAAAAACGGTCACAATATGTGCACAACAGATTTATTTATCGCACTATAGAAAACAGGGTGTTACTCAGTAGCTACTGAAGCTGAAACACTTTCATTTTTATTAAGGAAAACAAACTTTGTTTTATTAAAAATAATAACTGGAAACTAATCGCGCACGGTCAACCGGCACCAATTTAGGATTCCCTGTGTTTTTGGACCGTTACCAGAGACTGAAAAATATACTTATATTTGTTTAAATGTATACATATATAAAATAGACTAGCTGGCCCGGCAAACGTTGTTTTGCCATATAAATTATTTCTAAGAAAGATAAATAACCTACATACCGACTGGAGCGCCATCTGCCGGGCTGATTTGTAAATCTAAATCATTCTCGAATCTACCTGAAGGTACACAGAAAGTTTCACTAAAATCCGTCCAGCGGCTTAGGAGGAGTTCAGTGACAAACACACGCACAGAAGAAATATATATATTAAGATAATAAGCAACAGGACAAAGGGCAAACAAAACTGTTAAACACACACACTGTTACTGGTGGTAGGACATCTTGTAAGTCCGCGCGGGTAGATACCACCGCCCTGCCTATTTCTGCCGTAAAGCAGTAATGTGTTTCGGTCTGAAGCGTAGGGCAGCCGTTGTAATTATACTAAGATCTTAGAACTTACATCTCAAGGTGGGTGGCGCATTTACGTTATAGATGTCTATGGGCTCCAGTAACCACTTAACACCAGGTGGGCTGTGAGTTCGTCCACCCATCTAAGGAATAAAACACATACACAATGCTTGCCCGTTGTGGGAATCGAACCCTCGACCCTCGGTGCAATAGTCAAGAGTGCTAACTACTGCTGGACTGCACCGCCACGTCAAGAAAATTGTTGTTACCTAATTTTATCAGATTGTTTCGATATGCATTATTAGATATTGAAAAAAAAAAACTGTGCACGTGCAGTAGGTATTTATTGTTGAATACATTTCGCAATTTAAAAGCATGCAGATGGCAATAATTATCAAGAAACCAAAATCCTAAGTTTTTTAATAATATATATTTTTTTTAGAATGTGGTAAGGCTTCGGGTTCCATAGTAGAAATGAGGATTGTCGGCGGCCGAAGAGCGGTTCCACACTCCTTTCCGTGGACAGTGGCGATCCTGAAGCAAAAGTTGCTGCACTGCGGTGGCGCTCTCATCACAAATGAGCATGTACTCAGCGCGGGCCATTGCTTCAAATGGTTCAAAAATTGCTAATGAATTTTCATATAATTTAGATTCTGATGTCACAATAATGATTCTATTTGAAATCTTTAATTAAATAACTCACATGAATTTGCCAATCATGTAATTTGTAGAAAAACTAGCTACGAAAATTAAAATATTAACCGTGAATAATAAAATGACCATAGCTTTAGATTTAATTTGTCGTACCGTGAAAACGTTATTCAGAACCGGAAAATAGTATATAATACGTTAAATTTGTGATAAGAAGACATTAGCTGAAAGGTTTATTGTTAATAGGTATAAATACTAGAATAAAATACTAGAAATAATAGAAACATAATACTAGAAATACTAAAAAAAACTAGAAATACTATAATACTAGAAATTTCGTAGTGGTTAAGATTAGTGTGAGCGTTACGCATACTGACCAACGAGCTAAGTCTAATCCTGTATTAAAATAATTATAGGGCAATAATTATTGAAATAAGGATCTCTACGATTTAAAAGTCTGCGAACCTTTCCCTTCCTAAGCAGAAGATGATTAACTGATGATGAGTAATCACCGTCGCACATAGATAGCACTAATGCCTGCGGTATTTCTGGTCATGGATAAATTGCGGTAGATAATTCTTTGCTTTGAGGGCGATTCTAGGGGTATAGCTAAGTCGCTGCCTACTGATTTAATTATTAGTATCTAATTTAAGACATGCGTATTAAAAGAGGTATCGCTTTCCTTCATTTTAAAATACAATACGTATTATATTTAAACATTTTACACTTCAAAACTGACTATGTTTTTGTTTAAAATAAAGGAATCGTGGCTCCTGTTGTAAATTTTGTTCTAGGCTGAGCATGATGCAAAGCCGACTGTCTTAACAGCAGTTAGATAACTAACTATAATTTTTCTTTTATGCAGGGATGAACCCAAAATTATGAGGGTTTTGTTAGGACTGGATCATTTGGACAATATGACCGGAGTAGAAATTCGCACGATATCGAACGTGAAGATTCACGAACACTTTACTTCGACAGCTCTACGAGATGAGCACGATATCGCCATAGTAACATTGAATAAACCAGTTTTTTTCGGAGATAACATTATACCGATATGCTTGCCGAGCCCAGGTAATTTTTATTTGATAAGACAGGCAGAAGATGACACTTGATACTTGAAAATGTCGCTGACCATGAAAAGATTAAATTTATGGCTATCTTGCTTTCCAAACCGGAGCGTATAATTCTTTAGTGAAATAGGCAGGATAAGGGTCAGTCGAACAAAAACCGAGCACCTGTTTTGTGGTTCTTCAGACTTCACGCCAATCGCCTTAGATAGTGTATCCTTGCCAGTCTGCTCCGACCTCAAGTACCCCGGCTGTATACTCCAGATAGACGGCAACATAGACCGTGACGTATCGAGCCGAATAAACGCTGGTTGGGTGAAATGGCGACAGGTCTCTGCAACAGCATGCATGAAAGCCCTTAAGCTCAAGGGGAAAGTTTATAAAACGATCATTAGCCCTGTGCGCTGTATGGATCTGAATGTTAAGCGACGAAAGTAAAGCATGAAAGAGGAGTGCAAGCGGCAGAAATGCGAATGTTGAAATTTATGCGTGCAGTGACAAGAATGGACAAGATAAGGAATGAGTATATCAGAGGAAGTGTGGAAGTAGCCCGGTGATTAAAAATTAAATAGCGGATGATTAGCGTGGTATGGACATGTGATTCGTAGAGAGGAGATGCACGTGACTAGGAGATATATGGAAATAGTAGTGCAAGCTAGAGGGGGAAGAGGTCGACCGAAGAATAAATGGATGGAGTGTGTGAATGACGATATGAGAGAAAGAGGAGTGTGTGATGATTGAGCTAGATGAGAATGGAATAGAAAAATTTGCTGTGGCTATCCCACCTAGTGAGTTAAGATGGAGACAAAGAAGATGAAGAATAGGCAGGATAGTAGTACCAAGCCGTGTGGGCTTTCAACACGTGCAATATTACGTACTTCTAGTAGGTTTCAATTTTATGGTGACGATATGTCTTATAATGAATTTATGATCGGGATACCGTTAGTTAAAGAAGGCCTAAGACTATTATCGGACCAACTGGTGTCGATATTTTATTAGTCTTTAGAATTAGAACTTAATCATTTTTCAATTAGCATACTTGTTAGCCATCGGTATGCAGTAGTACCTATACGCATAGGTTAGTTTGTTTTCATACAAGTGATTATTTATAATCGATTAGATTACTGCAGGTGTGGAATTTCAATGTTCACGACAAAAACAATGAATTCTGATTCTACATAATTTGTTAAGAATTCTCTTCTGAATATAACTCGTACAGTTACGTGAATTGTTGCACAGAGCGGCTCTAGAACATTGAATTTCGAAAGTTGTTTGTATACGTATGTATATCTGATAGGGTTGATACGTAATCGTAAACATATACCCTGGGTCAGGAAGGTCAAGTGCCTGGGTGTCCTCCTAGATGCATTCTTGAAATTCCGCCCCCCTAAAAAATCAGTCCGCGTCCGTGCTGCGTTTATTCTCGGCAGACTCTACCCCATGATTTGTAAGCGGAGTAAAATCCCTACAATCTCGCTTTTGCAGGCTAGTCGTCGTAGTTCCATAGTTCGCGAGGAACGTTGACCTATACGACGACCTGAGCCTCGAATCCATCCGGAAACACATGATGTCAGTGTCGGAACGGTACTTCAATAAGGCTGTACGTCATGATAATCGCCGTTATCGTTGCAGCCGCTGACTTCTCCCCGAATCTTGCTCTCGCAAGGCCTCCGGGCCAGCAGTAATCTCTCAAACATAAAAAGGTCACTGATAACGAAAAGTGCTATTCATCGACTTATGAATATTTTTGGAATATTTCTGGAAACTGTAAAGTATTCGAATCACCGTCATAAATAATTTAATAACTATAAAAAATTCGAGACGGAACTGTAACAATATTTTTAATTATGTCTACAGCGTAAACCAAAAAATATGAACCATAACGAATGATTGAATGGTTTTTTTCTGTATATTTCAGGTGCAGATTTTGCGAATAGAATGGGTACAATAGTGGGCTGGGGTCGGGTGGGTGTGGACAAGTCATCCTCGAGAACCCTTTTAAAGGCCTCACTACGGATACTTTCACAAGAACAATGCATGAAATCGGAATTGAAAGAACATCTCAAACCAACGATGATGTGCGCTTTCAGTAAAGGAATAGACGGTTGCCAGGTCTTTATTTTTTAATTATTTTTAATACTCTTGCCTTTATTTGTGTAGACGTCAAGCCTGTGGACAACGCCACCTAAATGTCACCGTCTTGAGACGTGAAAGTCTCAGTTCTAAAGGTTGTGTCCAATAGTTCAATTATATAAAAAATACATCCGTAATATTCGTATATTGTAAATAAATATAACCTACCGAAAGTGAGCTACATAGAAAAGTCGATGCTATTTTCCTATAGTATTCACTACATACATAATAAATATAAAAAAGTATGTACAGAAAATAGATTAACATATATTTGTTTATTTGTTCGTGAACTAGGCATTCGCTTGATGATTTGCTTTCTTACATGAGGATTGTAGATATAATTCAAATTACCACCACTTACCAAATGAGCCGTGAGGTCTGTCAGCCATCTACGAAATAAACAAAATGTTTGTAGTCTCGGCAATTCAAAAAATACAGTTTCTCACAGCTTATTTAAAAATTCTAAGTATCTCCTAGATAGCTGTAAATATATAAATCGAATTTTATTTTCCGATTTGTGTATTTTAAATATTTTTTGTTTTATCAAGGGAGACAGTGGCGGTCCGCTAGTAGTGTTAGAGCCAACAGAACGATACGTGCAAGCGGGTAAGGTTTATTATTGGTTATTACCTACTTTATACCAACAGGGCGTTACAAAAATTCTATAGGATTCGTGATATATCGATTTGGTATTGATATATATTTAGACGCAATGTGTATTGGTCATCCTGCAAATATACATGCCGCTTCAAAGGAGTCCACTGCCACTCCAGCAGTCGCAAGATGGAGAAACGATGGACAATGGATTTGCGTAGGAAATAGCGCGGAGATTGCGGCGGAGCGTATGTTTCTGTACCCAATCATACACGACATCCTAAAACTGAGCCCTAAGAACCGTTCGCTTATCTGACAATGCGCATTACCAGTAATTTGTGCTCGTACCATGTGGGTCCTCCAAAGCACCACGACCACACCCGGCCGGGAACTTCATTTAGGCCGAAAATGGTTACAAAGAAGACATAAGCTGGATATAATATGTATATAGTTGGAAACAAAGTAGCTAAGATCAAATAAATATTTTAATTATAAGTGGCATATAATAAACTAGCTTTTGTCCACGACTCCGTCCGCGTGGAATAGTTACTTTGGCATAACGCAAAATTTTACCCCTACTTCATTTACGTAGAAAGTAAAATATCCGTATAAAGTTTTAACTATAGAATGTTAAGGAGCTATTTAAACCCCTATTTTCAAACATTATTTATTGGCAGTCTTACCGTGATGTTATATAACCTATAGCCTTCCTCAATAAATGGGCTATCTAACAATGAAAGAATTTTTCCAATCGGATCAGCAGTTCCTGAGATTAGCGCGTTCAAACAAACAAACTCTTCAGCTTTATAATATTACTATAGATAACACTTAATGAAATAAAATACACTACAAACCAAATTTGAATAAGTTTTAGAAAAAGTGAGAAATATTACTCGAGTTTTGAATGTCTATGTAAATCTAACTAGGCCCGTCTATTAATAGTCTTAATCGTTGTTATTTCCACGTTGGCTTATGTCGTAATAATAAAATTATCAGCTAAAGCAGTTGATTTTAATCTCAAAAAGTACTGCTATGCCTGTTTCATGGGCATAATAGTACTTTTTATGTTAATTAGGCATTTTAATAATTGTTGATCGATTAAATTTAATATTAATGAAAGTTTGGCTTGGTTGGTTCCTTGTGATCATTTCTTTCGATTTATTAATCTCGTCAGAATCTTTTTTGGTATTATAATTTGGTATTCTGCGTATGGGGGTAGACTTCTAGTATTCCCCATAACCCAGGAGAAAATTCTTTTAGGGGTTGTTTTATGTGTAAAGCTTACCATAACTATAAGCATTTATTTACAGGAATAGTTTCTTGGGGCATAGGATGTGCTGATCCAAGATATCCAGGTATATAATAATGAACAATATATGATACGTATATTAATAACGCAAGTTTTTTTGGAAGTTTGTTTTTTTTTTTTCCGCATAAGTATAAATAAGCTTATGGTCCACGTATTAAGCGGTTATCGAAGTCCATATAAATCACAATGTGAATGCCACCTACATTGATCATGTCTCTAGCTTAAAACCAGACAGCTGTTTCCCGGCAGATAAAGGCAGGGGGTAGTTCCCGTGTGAATACACCTATAATCACGCAAATGTAATGTTGTCATTTACTGGTGGTAGGACCTCTTTTGAGTCCACACCACACTTGTGGTAGGTACCACCACCCTGCTTATTTCTGCCGTGAAGCAGTAATGCGTTTCGATTTGAAGGGTAGGGGCAGCCGTTGTAACTATACTTGAGACTTTAGAACTCAAGGTGGGTGGCGCATTTACGTTGTAGATGTATATGGGCTCCAGTAACCGCTTAACAGGAGGTTGGCTGTGAGCTCGTCCATCCATCTAAGCAATAAATAAAAAAAATGTAATTAAAATTGTCTCCTTCCAGGTGTGTATACAAAAGTAAGCGATTATGTGGACTGGATTAAAGAACACTCTGAAGGAGCATGGACATGTGATTAATTAAATTATTAAATTACATGAAAATGATAAGCTTTTAATTTATTATCTACACTCCCACAGTCGCGGTTGTGCGACCACCAAGTGAAATATCAACTTCTTCGAAGACACGCCTGGGCCACTAAACGTGGCAATAATTGTTCGTGGCAGTTCGATTTCTCAGATTTCTCATTAATGTAGGGGCGCCATTGCTTTCCCATCGGTGTGTAGAACCGCCAAAGATACTGGCCGCAAAAAATTAAAATATGTCTATTCATATTGACAGAGAGACTATGACATATTTCGCATCTCATTGACAGCTACTACAGTTTCTTTTAAGAAGTACTTATTTATGAACTTTTCATGGTCGACTTTTTAAATGATGCGATAGCAGCGTATTTACACGAAAAGTCATAGGTAAAGCAAATTTATTTAATATGGCTGAGCAGCCATTCATTCCAGTTTGAAGGGTGTGAGTGTTGTGAAATAATGCAAATAAAACTTGAAACTGACGTCTTAAGGTGTGTGGTGGTATTTAGTTTCTAATGTCTATTGTTCTTTTTTACTGCTTAGATTGGTGGACGAGCTCACAGCCCACCTGGTGTTAAGTTGTTACTGGAGCCCATAGATATCTACGACGTAAATGCCGCCACCGACCTTGAGATATAAGTTCTAAGGTCTCAGTATAGTTACAACGGCTGCCCCACCCTTCTAACTGAAACGCATGACTGCTTTACTTAGAAATAGGCAAGGCAGCGGCACCTAGCCGTACGGACTCATAAGAGGTTTTACCACAAGGTAGACCGGTAACCACCTAACAATATACTGAAGAAATACTTTTTTTAATTAAAACTTAAACAAACAATATGGCTGCTGGAACGCTAAATATATTAGAAGAAATCAGACAAAAACATGAATCGCGCTAATGTCATTTTGCTTGGTCCTCGATGAGGAAACTTACAATATGTTAAGCAAGTTCCAAAACATAACATTGGGACTGTCAATCTCACTAGCTAGTAGTGAGACAGCCATTTCTTACTAGCTAGATTGCTGGTTTCATTTCTAGTTAGAAATATATTGTGCACAAGGTGAATGTGAAAGCAGTATACCGCAATAATTTGCCATGTAAACTTCATACAAAAAGTATGTTAAGGATAAAGTCGGAAGTTCAGCTAGGAAGGAACTGCCCTTTTTTCTACCTAAGCTGATAGGCTTGAGAGGCTATGTCAGCGTAACCCTAACGTGGTGAGCTCTCGTGGCTCAAACCAGGAGGCGTTGCTAACACTGGCCCTAGCAAGAGCAGTGCCTCGCAGAATCTACCACCGGATCGAAAATGCGACCCACGGAGAATATCCGGCAAGAAACTCAGTGGGATATGTCTAGTGAGTTACTTTACTTGCCGAACCCTTCGTCGCGAGCGTCGAGTTCGACGAGAACGGTGACCGGAAAGCACCATTAGGGGATCGGGAGGATTCGAAATGACGTGTAGGGTGACGTCGACTGTTTACCATTTGGTCCGCAGGATCGTGTATGTAATTTCCGGCGACGACAATGAGAGGGTTTTCGTATCAGACTGCCTACTAGTAACGTCAAGTACATATATTTAAATACTCTTTCCAGGTTTGTTTACGCTAATTTGCTTGCAAGTGCAAGTAATCAACTCTGAGAGAAAATCCGTCTGCTCTGGAACATAATATGTAATTAAATATGATGAGGGATGCATGGAGTTCGATTTATTCCGACGAAATCGATTCGAAAAATTGTATTAAAATAAATTTTCTACAATTTTAAATTAAACTAACTTCTAAACTTCTAAAATTTTAAATTAATTTTTGAAGTCGTCGTGGCCTAAAGGTTAAGACGTCCGGTGCATTCGTGTGTTCGAATCCCGCAGGCGGGTACCAATTTTTCTAATGAAATACGCACTTAACAAATGTTCACGATTGACTTCCACGGTGAAGGAATAACATCGTGTAATAAAAATCAAACCCGCAAAATTATAATTTGCGTAATTACTGGTGGTAGGACCTCTTGTGAGTCCGCACGGGTAGGTACCACTTCCCTGCCTATTTCAGCCGTGAAGCAGTAATGCGTTTCGGTTTGAAGGGTGGGGCAGGCGTTGTAACTATACCGAGACCTTAGAACCTATATCTAGAGGTGCGTGGCGCATTTACGTTGAAGATGTCTATGGGTTTGATTTTTATTACACGATGTTATTCCTTCACCGTGGAAGTCAATCGTGAACAATTGTTACCTAAGTACGTATTTCATTAGAAAAATTGGTACCCGCCTGCGGGATTCGAACACCGTTGCATCGCTATATACGAATGCACCGGACGTCTTATCCACGACGACTTCAAAATGTGTGTGAATGTGTTGAAACGCGAGCTACATGGTAGGCGGAGTGAGGGGTGTAAGGTTTTTTTCGTTACGGAATTTCATGATTCGGTCGCCGCGCTCAAGGCCCGCGATTAAATCTATGCAATAGCTTAAAAATGAAAATGAAAATCTTTTGTTTATAAGTTTCGTTTTATATTCACGCTCTTATCTGTTATTCTGTACATCTATTTTTAATATACTGTTTAAGTTATAATAAGGGGCACTTCGTTTTAAAACGAATTCTAATCAAAACAAAAGCTACGTAAATTCCTGTAACTTAATTTAGTTAGCTACCATTATCCAATAACTGTATTAAATAGTGATAAGTTGATGATTTTAAGGTTGATTTTGAATTTTACTGATTTCATAATCTTGACACTTTCACAAAAAAGCTTATGTATCGCTTAAACGATTTTTTTAAAGTGATTTTATGACTTGGTAGCTAAGACCTTTAAGCCATGTCTTATTTTAATTTATATTCTTATTTTTATGACAAATGATAATATGGAGTGAAATGAAATGGAAATGATTAATTTGAGACGTTAATCAACTGGGATGAAATTAAATGAAATGAGATGATGTGGAATGAAATATAATCTTAGTAAAATGGTGGTCATTTACTAAGATTTTTTCAGTGGACTTTTTGGAGGATCCCGAGAAGTTGCGTCCAGCGGCTTTGTTTCATTTTCCCACATTTGTGCACTTTCACAGATATTAAACAGTTAATAAACTACCGTTATTACACATTTAAACCTGAAGAAACACTAAATAGACAAAATAAAACAAATTACACAATTTCACTCCTTGCGTTCCCGCCAAAAAGTCCATCGTTTAAACGATTTATCTTAGTTCCATAGACTATACGTAAACATTTAAGTTCGTTCAATCTTGTTCGTAATGTTCGTTCTTCATTCGTCTTGAAAACTTATATACCGGTAAAATGGGGCGATTAGGGACAACTTCCAACTTTATGACCAATTTTAAGGTAGTTGTTGATGTATATAATGCTATATCAGGATCAAAACGATTGAGTCTTGGGGGCATCTTTGTTATCCAATTTAAAACTATGCAACTAGCATTCCAGTTTATGCAAAAAAAGCAAAAATAGGTGTAATCCCTATTTACCCGGAAATTGCGGTTAATTGGGACGACATGAGAAATTTGCTAGGGTTGGCACTACTTGGTTTTAATTAATTTATTTTATTTACTTATGATTAATTTATATTTACTTGGGAAATGATCCACGACAGATTTGTCCTGTAAGCTGTGAGACAGTTAAAAAATTTATCTATTTCATCACTTAAAATTAGTTCAGCGCAATCGGACAACTCCGAATGAATATTGACGGAGACCACGCTACCGTGGACATTATTGTAGTCCCAAAGGATTCTGTACATGGGAGAGTAAGCACCTAAATTCGAACGAGTGAGCTTTCTTATGACTGGTAATATAAATATCTTCCTTCTTCTTTCTAACTGATAATATAAATATTTACCAAACAATAAAATAACACATTGATAATTTTAAATAAAAGTTCTAGACAAAGACATCATGAATAAACCAGATTTTTATCAACAAATTAAATTACAACTACATAGACAACCCAACAAACCTGTACCTATTTATACTTAGGTCGTTTCCATTTCACGTATTCTCATCCCAATTGACCCCTTTTTCGTTGTTATTTGTATCTAAGACGTCCCTAATATCCCCCAAAACAACAGATATTTAAATGTATTTTTATTTTATCAAATACATTAAACCCAATAACAACTGAGACTTACCTTTAATATATATGATGGTTCAAACACTAAATAACGTTTATAAATCACAGTCGTCTTCTATTATTATCAAATAAATAAAAGAGAGCAAAGTTTCTAGCACTAAAATAATTACCACCACAGGAAGTTAATTTGAAACGCGATTTTTTTTAAGTTAGCAGCTATTAACATGCCTATTCAGAGTGGTTCATGAACTTTCAACATTCTACTATTAAACTACAAAAAATGGAAGATTTTGCAACGAATATAAAAATAATATTGAGCGTCGAAAAAATTTCCCGGTTTTTTCCCGATTCGCCTCTCAATCCCTAATCGCCCCATTTTACGGTATCTATTTAATCTTGATTTTGAACTACGATTGACAATTTGACACAATCTTACACACGCACGAACTTTTAGTTATTTCTTTGTTTGAAATGTTACTAAAGATTAATTTAATTTTTAATTAAGTTCAAGTGCAATGTTTTATGTTTTTACAAAATGCCAGGTGTAAGAAAATATCGTCGTGACACAAGTGAAGTCAGTTGTTGTTTAAAATATGTAATTTTTGGTGTAAATGTTTTGTTCTGGGTGAGTGTAATTTTAGCCCTTTCTTTTACAACATTCTGTTAGATCTGTTTGGTTTTAGTTCTGCTTGTGTTAGAGGTAACAAATAATCGTTAATCAATTAGCACTGCATTTGAACCCTAAAATTATGATTTATTGAGGATTTATAAATAATTAAGCACAGAATGTGTGAGATAAGTTGAATATAATAAATAGAAACCAATATATTAGACACAAAAAAACATGCCATGAAATCAGATACTTCACTTATAATAATTAAAATTAAATAACTGGCAATTACCACAGTCATGGTAATGCCCAGATTGACCTAGATTATTATCCTAATTTTGAAGGATATGAGTGCAGTTATGATATGTGTTGACTGTTTTTTTTTGCATAATATGTTAAATGTGAATATTCAATTTGAAATTGATAGGTTGTCATGAAGTCATCCATTCATTATATTTGATTACATTTTATGTTTGAATTGATTACATGCTGAGTGCATTAAGTTTTAGTAAACTAAAAACCATTCAGCTATTCTTCAAAGGATACTCAGAGCACATAGGATACAGTTAGTAAGAATGGAAAAACTATAATGTGCAAATTTGCAAAAATCATATGATTGAGAATCAATGTATGTCTAATTACTTAATGTAAACATGTTATGTATTGAGGTCAATAACATAATAACTGTACTTTACAATATAATCACAGCAGTGAATCACCAACCCAAATCCTGAGATCTTAAAATATGATTGATTATTACTACAAACTCTGTGCAGCAAATAATTATAGGTTTAATGATTTATTTGAATACGGTCGAAAAATAATAGAGTAATACTTTCATTTGTTCTATATTTTGATAATGAGTTTTAAAGGCATTTAATTTTTTTATCACAATTGTACTTACTCATTTCCATAACATAAACAAATCTTATTACTCCTCCAATTTTAAAATTTGTTCAAATCTGTTTGTCTTTCTGTTAAAATCTGAAAAAATAGTAATTAATTAATTTATTAATTTTGCCAGATAGATAAAATAACAAAACAAACTTAGTTAATTTTCAGCATAATGTTAAAAAATGGTATTTGTAACCAGCCATTTAAACAGGCAACAGATGTTTTTAAATTGTTTATCATCAGCACAATACAAAATCAAAAAACTCAGTAGTGCAATTCCGATCCAGTAGTAGATACATTCGTGAAGCAGCTGCTCTTGAGTTGTTAGATCTCGTTCGTTGCTTACCATATAAGAATTATTTATATATAGTGACTGTAAATATAATGAGCTATTTCCTGCAGTTAGTGGGCTTAATAGTCCTCGCTGTGGGTGTGTGGTCTTGGACGGAAAAAGACACCTTCAACAACTTGTCGCGCCTTACAAACATAGCTTTAGATCCAGCATTCATACTCATATGTGTTGGTGAGTATTAATATAATAATTTGTTAGTTATTTTATCGTAGTCTCAATATATAAATCGTAATTATTATAATGCCATTTAATAGCAAATCTTTGCATGTTAAGCAAACTAGATCAATTTGATGTTAATTCAGATTAATTCCAGTTTTCTGTTTCATGCCCTCATTTTATGTTTCAATCAAATCTTTTTAAGACACCTCCTCCTCACATTACTGTCTACTTAATTCAAGTCTCATAATGTAAATACAACTCTTAAAATCATATTGCATGTTGTAAGTTGTTGTCTCATTGGTTGTAAGACAGAGATTTATTGTAGATATAAAAGTATCCTCTCTATTTTATCAGGGGACTCATGTGTTGCATTCTTGAGGTTTTTACATTCTTTAATGCAATAAGTTCATTGTTCAGTATCCATTTTATACTAATTTTTTTATAATATTACCTTGAGAATTCTAATGCTGTATATAGCACATCCCTCAGTATCAGTACACCTGCAGTCTTCTAAAGTTTATTACAGTTTTATTACAGTAAACAAAAATGTACAATTCTCACAGTAATGCCACTAATGAAAATGTATTCTATTATAGGCACAATAACATTCATAATTGGCTTCACTGGGTGTGTTGGTGCACTTCGTGAAAATACTTGTTTGTTAGCTTGTGTGAGTATAAAATTGAATAAGCTATCCTTTCATACGTAACAAATTCACTATATCAAGTGTATTAGATAATTGCCTAGAAATATTAATCAGACAGAGATTTTTATAGGCTCTAGACTAGTGAGAGAGAAGTTAATATAGTTGGCTGGTACTCAATCAGTAAAATTGCAGTTTTAAATAAAGTGTTCATAATGAGCTATTGTTTATTATTTAACACTGTGAGAGAAACAATAAAAACTGTTTAAAAGAATTCATTATTTAGAAAATATTTTTATTCTGTTTTGTTTCATCATCAGCCTGTATCTATCCACTGCTGGATGTAGGCCTCTCCCATAGTTCGCCACAATGAACGATCCTCCGCCCTCCGCATCCAATCTCTCCAGCATACCGCAAGTCATCAGTCCAATTTGTTTCATTATGCATATTTATATAATGAGTCATTATTAAAAATGTAACATTTATTTATTTATTATAAGTAAGAAATTTATTAGAGAGCAAAACGATAATTTTTTATGTATTTTCTTTCGTAGCATTGATGCCATTTTAAAATTGACTAAACTTTGGTTTTTTCAGTATGCTGTGTTTTTGGCACTTCTGCTACTTGCAGAGATGACAACTGGAATCCTGTTCTTTGTCTTCAAGGACTGGGTAAATATGATTTTTATTTGCTGTCTCATTATACTTCTTAAATATGAAACTATTAAACATTTTTAATATTTTTAGTATCGTAGATTAGATCTCACCATGTACACTAGTTGCTGATAAGATCCCCAGAAACTGTTTATAGTCCAGAATCATCGTTTGGAGCTTCTAGTGTTAGCTAGAGAGTTCGCTCTCTGTGTTTTATACTCTGTTTCATGGGATTAAAGGATTCGGTTTGAACGTGGTATTCAGTGAATGTGAGGCTATGTGACTTCATGGGTCGCGGAGAGCGCTGCCTGCGTTGAGCTTGAGGTACAATGGTAGTACGTTGGTCTTAAAGACAGTCCTTATAACTTCGTTGCCATAGTCCCCAAGCTATTGGTGACGGCAGGCGTATTAAGTCGGCTTCATCCCAACGACTGTGGTTCGAATCCGATCAAATATGTATACATATAAACATATTTCTATATGTATTTATAAAGACCGCTCGATAAAACTAATTATGTGTGTAAGTTTCTACAATATTTTTACGGAAAAATCTGGTTTGAATTTACATATTTTTTTTCGTGCATTTTGCAATATTGAAGCAAAAATCGAGTATGAGGAAATGAGTTTTTATAAACCGGTCCGTAATATTTGTTGACTTTTACATATTTATATGGCGTCTATTTTTTTCAAACCCTTGTATTTGTGTCTTGTGTATCTTTTACGGAATTAAAATTCGCACTCTCATAGTGTAATTAGGTCAAGGTCAAAACGAAAAACACATTCTGCTGATTCCATTACAGTTAAGATCTAAAAATACTTTTACTTAACAGTAATGTTATATAATTACAAAAATCTGTCAACGCATAGTATATTTTATACCCTAATGAAACTTGCTTGCTTGCGAATGTGTACATATGAAGTTTGTTTAAAATGTATTTTCTCTTCATTCAGATAAAACAACAGGCCACGACTGGATTTCAAACGTTCATCGTCCACTATAGAGAAGACCCCGATCAACAGAACATGATCGATTGGATCCAAGAAGAATGGGTAATCTCCTACATACTTTCGTAGTAGGACCTTAATAATACTTGTCTTACTTTAATAGTACTTGACTTAATAATATGTCGGCGAAACGGCTATATCGTAAAGCCGTCGCCAGAGTAGAGTATGTCTCTACTATCTGAACCCATATTCATCGTAAATGATTGCAGAGATATTGAACTATCAGTATCGAAGCCATTTACCATTCGGCTCTGGAAACTCCACGGTGTTTCCAAAGCGTTAGTCGCCTATTTTTACTGGTGGGAGGACCTCTTGTGAGTCCACACGGGTAGGTACCACCGCCCCGCCACCACCACATCACCACACGGCTCTTGTTAGGGTCAGGTTTGAGCCCCGTGAGCTCACCTACTAGCTAAGGTTACGCTGAAATAGCCTCTCAAGGCTGTCAGCTTAGGTAGGAAAAAATGAAATAAACGCGGCATATTTACGGAACACATAAACCTTTTACGGCCGTCTGGGGTAGTGGTAAGTGACATGGTCACAGCACAATGAGGTCGCGGGTTTGAATCCCGCCAAAGGAAGATATTTATAAAATGTATTTTCTAGGGTTATGGATTTATATTAAATATATGTACACAAGTTCTTTACGAACTTACCACGGGACCAGTTAATGTGGCGTGATTGTTAGTTAATATTTATTTATTTATTTTACTATATTGCGTATAATTCGGAATGGCAGCTTCAGTGTTGCGGTGTCGAGGGTCCCAAGGATTGGGACAGGAACGCGTACTTCAACTGTTCGAGTGGGGCGGCCGGCGCTAGGGAGGCGTGCGGCGTGCCCTTCAGCTGCTGCAGGAATAAGCCCCAGGACATCATAAGGAACAAGCAGTGCGGATATGACGTCAGAAAGTCGCCCGACGTGAGTGTTCCTCTACTGTTTTTTTTTTGAAGTGAAATTTCTTTATCGACTTAAGGAGCAAAAACGTATGTAACGTTTTTCGGTTACGCGCCATCTTAATTTCTTCCATTACGCGCCATGTTTATTTTATTTCTATTTAGTTTGTTATCAACAGATGTCGCTGCACGTAAATACTGCACGTGTGTGACTTGCACACACACACATTTATTTATGATTGAAAGATTACTGGTGACCCGGAGGCCTTTCCAGTTTCACCAGGACAGGTGGGCGAGCAAAGGCTCAGCCAGGAGGGGTGAGATTTGCTAACAGCTTCGAACGAGGCTTGTGGAGACCATTAAGCGTTAGGCAGTGGCTTGGCTCTGCCCCTGGCATTGCTGAAGTCCATGGGCGACGGTAACCACCCACCGTCAGGTGGGCCTTATGCTGGTCTGCCTACAAAGGTAATAAAAAAAAAACTCCTAGCGCCTCCGAACTTTCTATTGTTATATTATGTTATAACAAAGAGAAGGTTCTTATAGTTGTCTCGGTGTTCGGAGAGTTGCTGGTGTGGTGTCTGAGAACTTTGTGTTTTATTTTAAAATTAAGATATAATATCCTTCGATCAATAATAGTACTAGATTACGGATCAGGAACAAAAATAAGACGCTCCAGTGGCCACGTTTGCAGACACGAAAACATCTTCATTTCTTAGAAAAAAGTTTAATAATGTTAACGACTTCAGTTTATTATAAACCTTAATACTTAAACATAAAGTTTAATTACCATTGCAAAATATAGGTATTTAGGTCCTTTCGTCAGAAAAAGAATATTATGGAATAAATTTAAAATGTCACTTGAACATAAAAAGTCATCAGTACAAAAATATTTATTCTAAAATGATACTTAAAGCCTAATTTATAAGGTTAAAAATATTTGTTTAAAATTTCGTGCTTATTGTATTGTGGAACTAGATGTAGTTCTTGGTATTACATTTCAATGCTNTACTGACAGACCCACACGTCTGACCACGTTGTGGCCACGCCGGCGTACCGGTACCCCCCTCTGGAGGGCCTTCCCCTTTAACAGCCAGAGAACCGCCGGGGACATGGCCTAGCATACAAGAGGGCTCCAGAAGGGAGCCCTCTTCCCTCTTCACGCACCCTTTGCTTAGCAAAGGTGGGAAAAGGGAACACGGTGTGCAGTCTTCCTAGTTCACGCCACCCCTGTGCAGACAACGCTGCTCCACGGTATCGGGGTGCACGCTTAAGCCCCACCGCCACGACAAGGCGAGACCACGTTGTGTGGGGTACTCCGGTACCTAAACTAATCTAATACCAGCTGGGCCGTGAGTTCCTCCACCCATTCAAGTAACACAAAAACCCTCGAGGATTTGGAGTAACGGCTTGTCTGTCCTTCGGCCACATGACTGTCTCATTATACAAATAGACAGTATGATGATACCCAAACTTGGAGAAACTAAACTTGTAAGATGTCAAATTTAAAAAAAAGATGTGTGGTGTTGTGGGACATCGGATAGGAACGAAGTTCTTTATTATAAAAATATAATTATATATATTATAATATAATAATATATATTAAGTTCTATTCGAGGTATACAGAAAATAAAACTGGAGGTTTCGCAACAACCCACGGTCATTCGATAACGTGCGAACTTATTGTGGTACACTTCATTCACGGTTGTTTGCATAAGAGTTAGTGTATTGCGCAAACGAACGCTCTGAGATCGTGGTCAATGATAAAAAATATGTTATTTTTTGTACGCTATTACAAAGTTAAGTCGTACACTGTGTGCATTACTAATAAAAATCTTACGTTACGGACGTTTTTTCCCGGTTAGGGTACTCCTCCGCATCGTCCCATAAGGAACTTAGTTCCAAAAAACTAAAATTCTATCAGTAGCTTTTTTTAGATTTGGGTTATTTTACTGGTGGTTTTGAAATTTCTTCTGAATTATTTTATTGTGATTACGCACGAAATTCCAGAACCTAATTTAAATTATCCAGAATGCAATTGTGAAGTCAGGTATCGACGCAAATAGTTGAAACACCACAGTGCGGCTGTGAGCAGCGATCCTCTGGACATTCCATTAATCGATTCAGGTGTAGAACTGTCTCACATGGTTGAGGTCGGCATTCCGATTGTTCAATTCTATAAGTTGGAATCGAGAATCTTGAATTATATTCGATTGCATTTATGTTTAATGGAAGATGATATATCCGATCAAAAGAAGGTAAAGAACGAGGAAATAAATGAAAAAAGTCGGTAGCCATTTTTAAATTATTTTTTCACCTCAGCAGCTCAAACACGCCGCTTTTGCTGCGAGACAACAGTGAACAAAACGCGATTTTGATTCGAGCGTGGGTCCAAAGTAGCTTTTTAATTTGTCAATCTTCAGTGCCACGAATTGACACTGTTCAGCCATAAATTTGTAACATTCGAATTTTACTGTGCTCTGTCTCTTTCACATGCATATAAAAAAGCGAGTGAAAAAAACAAACCCCTTCGAAATTTGATTTCGGTATTCGATTTTAAAGAAAACACGTTCGGAAATGCGTAAAACCCTAAAATTTTAAGATATTTGTAATAAATTACTATTTTTTTAAATAGTTATTTAAATCTGTTTCTGTTCATTTCTATGTTTAAGTAATATGTGTTCTCACTGTTGAGGACGTTGAGGTGAAAAGTTATGTGTGCTACACGAGACCAAAGTTTTTTGCATCTCGTTGAGTCCCTCACTACGCTCACGATTCTAACTTTGAATCAATCATAGAATCCTTCGCTTGCTCGGACTCCAAATCAGCACTCGAAACAAAAAATAACTTTACTCTCTTGTTACACAAATAACTATTGTATAGTGTGTCCTTTCAAATAAATTTATGAGAAGTCCTTTAATAACTTGAATAAAATTAAATAATTATTTTGAAACTAAAAACGACGTTAGGTTTACTGTTCTGATAAAAAAGGTTGCTGATATTATTTACATAGGAAGGAAGGTTTACAGAATGCTTCACGTTCTAACTAATACTGGGCTGCTATACACACTGACCAGAAACAACACGACTCAAATACCGCCACCTACTTCAAGATACATTATTTATATAGATTCTCTGGCCAGTAAGAGAAATTCAATTGAAAAAGAGGAAAATTTTAATGTGTGACAAAGCCTTAGTTGATAACGGTGCCTCCAAATTAGCTATTTGTTTAGTTATGTTTCTAATTGACAAAAATGTTGTTTTTGAAACGTTTTTTTTTAATCCTTAGGCAAATTTTCATGCAACAAATAATGATTGCTTGCCCTAGTATAATTTGGATCGCGACAACATTTTATCGCGTTGTTTACACGAACAATTCAAGTATCAAGTTAATCGAGACTCAAATATCAAAAAGGAACTGTTTTAGCTGAGAAACAGTTGTTCAGAATCGTGGCAATCGTTAACCGACCGTTACGGTTTACATAAATAAATAAATATTCCTGTGTTTACAGAAAATGCAGCTATTCTGATGCTATCGGCTCTCTGTCGGCCGCGCAATGGCCTTACAGTGTAAATACAAACAGTGTAACCATTCCACTTTATCCAACTAAAATGACAAAGGAAAACCAAATGGAATATCTAATTAGTATATCAGGAAGTAATGTTAAAGCTTTTGAATGCAGCATTATCTTTGTTATAAAAGCTTTTTTTATTGTTTAGATGGGTGGACGAGCTCACAGCCCACCGGATGTTAAGTGGTTACTAGAGCCCATAGACATCTACAACGTAAATGCGCCACCAACAAAATCAAATCAAATCAAATAAAAAAAATATGTATTCCACATAAATGAAAGTACATACTTGTTGAACGTCAAAAAGAACTACCGCCTATTGACAAAAACTAGCCTCCGTCCTGAGAAGAACTGGCAACAAAGTCAGCGGGCATGTCTTTTTTTTAAATATTAGATAATTTTTTTTGATTTAGGTTTTTCTATATCTATACTTATATTAATATTATAAAGAGGAAAGATTTGTTTGTTTGTTTGTTTCGAATAGGCTCCGAAACTACTGGACCGATTTGAAAAATTCTTTTTCCATTAGAAGCCGACATTGTCCCTGATGAACATAGGCAACTTTTTTTTATTTTTTTTTATTTTTTTTTTTTGGTTTCATTTTTGTTTTAATGTTTCCGAAGCGAAGCGAGGGCGGGTCGCTAGTTTTTTATATATTCATTTTTACAATGGGTATTATAACATAACAATTATTGCAATATTGAAATGCCCAGAGCGAGCAACTCACCTTGAGATATAAGTTCTAAGGCCTCATAAGTTCTCAAGTATAGTTACAACGGCTGCCCTACCCTTCAAACCGAAACTCATTACTGCTTCACGGCAGAAATAGGCAGGGTGGTGGTACCTACCCGTGCGGACTCACAGAGATAGCTGATACTATTTCGATTATTGACGGTCGACTATTTTGTTAGTGGAATTGAACATCACGACATCCGTTAACTCAAGTCATTGACTGACATTGTAAAACTTTATTGGACGTACGTGAAAGAAAAAACCGCTTTGCAACATAAAAAAACGAAACTTTTTACTGGTGGTAGGACGTCTTGTGAGTCAGCACGGGTAGGTACCACCACCCTGCCTATTTCTGCCGTGAAGCAGTAATGCATTTCGATTTGGAGGGTGTGGCAACCGTTGTACTGTAAAAACTGAGACCTTAGAACTCATATCTCAAGGTAAGTGGCGGCATTTACGATGTAGATGTCTATGGGCTCCTATGACCACTTAATATCAGGTGGGCCGTGAGCTCATCCACCTAAGCAATAAATAAAAAAACTTCTATGAGAAAATATTAACAGAAACCATTTAGATAGCTGTTTCTCTATAAACTGCACCGCTTTCTATACCTTCAGGTTATATTAAAACAACACGTGACATCCAATATTCAGAGTGTACCACGTAGCGAAGGTAACTGCAGCTCGAGATGTGAATGCGGCACTTGTACTGCCGCTCACGTACA